TTAAACAACAGTTTTGTTTGATTAGTTATTCTTCAGTTTTAGATCCACACCAAAGATTTTAATCGTGAGCTGCTTTTTCCATTTCTTTGCTGATTTTGATTACAAGATTATCATCTGAACTCCTATCTCCTTCCTTTTCTTCCCCCTTCTGTTGGCAGGGAGCTGTATAATAACAATATTAGTGGAAGAATTCCATATGAACTTGGAAACTTAACAAACTTGGTGGGCTTGGATTTGTATATGAACAACCTAGATGGCCCAATCCCTGACACATTGGGCAAGCTTCAGAAACTTCGTCTCCTGTACGGGTTACTACTGTCTTTGAACTTTATGTTGTATACAGTTTTTTTTTTTTTTCCCTTGGGCTTTCTTTCCTTCTTGTTGGATTGAAACTTTGTCCTTCAAAAGTAGGTGACAAATAGGTTTCAGGAGTTGATTAGAGCACCAAACACTGGGTAGCAATATTATCGTCTTGTCTTCTTTGAAGTTAATTTTCTTGCATGTCTGTACAACAATTTCTAAGATTATGATGTGGCTTACAACGAATGAAGTTAAAATCATAAGGCCGGCTTGGTCTTTGACCGTTTTCTTTTTTATTAAGATGTCTTGGTGAATTTGGCTCTTAATTCAACCGAGCATGTTTCATTAGAGAATTAGCAAATTTCACCCTTTCTATCAAGAGTCAACTATGTCCAAGTTTTTGTTGCTGGTGTTGCATTGTCATCTTGCTAAAGAAACACTGTTGAGTGGCTAATATGTTGCTATATAAAAATATCATACTTACAGACAGTAGTTAGTTTGTCTTGAGGTGGCAGAGAGCAGATAGTTTTGATTTTTTACTGTTAAAAATCAAGTCCAAAGATCATGGTTATCCTTTAGTGCAAATACTTTTGAGTTGGATGTGACCAACCACTGAGTAAAAAGGCACAACTTCCTTGTAGAGCAACATACATACTGCAGTTGAAACAGATAATTGGACTTTGTCATGATATCAGAATGCTCAGGCGATGTTAAAAAGCAACAAAATTAGTTGGTGCTTATTGTTCAACCATTCTATTACTGTTTGACCAGGAGAACTTGCAAAGTAAGCAGATGCTGTTTTAAATCCTTTATATCCTGGTAAATGAGTCAAACTTAAATTGCATTTAAAGCTTAAACATGACAACTACTCAAAGTCATTTCTTGCTTGAGTTTTCTCATATTTCAGACTTGTAGGTAATGGGCAGTTATGGAACACCATCTTCCGTATTTTTCTCTTTTTGTAATCGTGATCATTCTATGAGCCTAATGATTTTTATTTATTCTTTAACTATGAACTACACAGGAGGCTAAACAATAACAGTTTGACTGGAGAAATTCCCATGTCTCTGACCACTGTCAATACACTTCAAGTTCTGTAAGTTGGGAGTTGAAGTATTTTTATTTGGTGGTTTTTACTTTCATTAATTTCTCGGTGGACTGATATTTATTTCTGTGTATAAATGCAGCGATCTTTCAAATAACCAGCTAACAGGAAAAATACCGGTCAATGGTTCCTTTCAACTTTTCACTCCTATCAGGTTTGACAAGTGTATTTTACCGACCGGACCGTAGTAATCCATCAAATTCTTGTGCTGACTGCATAGTTCCTTTTTTCAGTTTTACCAATAATAGCTTGGAACCTGTTCCCATATCTCCACCACCTCAATTTCAACCGTCAAAGCCATATCCTTCTGGAGGTTTGTTAACTTGTGCCTCATCCTCTTCTATGAATACTTTTCTCAATGATGATGTTTAGGATGAGTAATGCAATTTAGCACCATTGATGTTACAACACTAGTCAAGGAGTTAAGTGTCATTAAATGAAAAGTGCAATTTAAATGAATCATATAATTTCACGTTTAATTGAACTTATCAAATAATGTGACTTAGACTAGTGCTCTAACACCGGTGATGCTAGATAGCATTATTCTTTTAGGATTTAGCTAGTCATCTGAAAGAAATCCTAAAAGAATAACAAAGAATGTGAATTGATTACATGCAGTTGGGAACAGTGCTACTGCTCCCATTGCTGGAGGGGTTGCTGCAGGAGCGGCCCTTCTCATGGCTGTTCCTGTCATTGCACTTGCTTTGTATCGACAAAGGAAGCCACAAGATCATTTCATTGATGTTCCAGGTTAGTGGGTAAAATAATGGGTTAAATTGAGCTTCATATTGCATTACCTGTTGTCTCTTATCTTGTATCCTTTGCAGCTGAGGAGGATCCAGAAGTTCATCTGGGACAACTAAAGAGGTTTTCCCTGCATGAACTACAAGTTGCAACAGATAACTTTAGCAACAATAACATTCTTGGCAGAGGTGGATTTGGTAAGGTTTATAAAGGCCGATTAGCAGATGGCTCTCTAGTGGCGGTAAAAAGGTTAAAGGAAGAACGCACTCAAGGTGGAGAGATGCAGTTCCAAACAGAAGTGGAAATGATCAGCATGGCAGTGCATCGAAATCTACTTCGCTTACGTGGCTTTTGCATGACACCAACGGAACGGGTACTTGTTTATCCTTATATGGCTAATGGAAGTGTTGCATCGTGCTTGAGAGGTAGGCTTGATCTGTTTCTCCTGTATTTAATTGTACTTCGTTAAAAAATGTAAGTTTGGGAATGTGATAAATGTTATAAATAATGCAACATGACATTTTTTGCAGAAATCTATTGTGCAAGCAATGATATCCATCACAAGAATCACAATTGAAGCACATCTTCATGATAAATTGAGAGAGATTAGTATGGATATTATTATTAAAATTTTAATCCTAGAAAATAACATCTATGAATTTCCATTCTATGCTAGCAGTGATACTAAGTCTTTACTTGAGATGCAAAAGGAAGATTGTTTCTGTTTGTGTAATTTATGCCTATTAGGAGAATCTGCAACATCAATATCTTGCCAATTCTTTCAGGATGTTTTTGGAATTATGTACATGAATTATGCTAATTACAGGGTAATTAAACTACCCTATATTCTTCTCTTAGCTATATGTAAGATATTTGCTCACCCCATGGAAAGAAAATTGGTGCATAATCATGTAACCACGATCTGCGGTAGATGTATGTGTTTGCTTGTGCATTTGTGCAGATTTAATGGTAATTGGATCTCATAGCACAGCTGAAAATGATCGTACAAGTAAATATTTGATAACACAGGATCACACTTGATGGTTCAGTTGTGTTTTGCTTTATATTCTCTCTTTCTATTCTAATGAGCATATTGATGTATTGTTGTAGAGCGACCTGAATCGCAACCTCCACTTGATTGGTCAATAAGAAAACATATAGCATTGGGAGCTGCGAAGGGACTTGCTTATTTGCACGATCAATGTGACCCAAAGATTATTCATCGTGATGTCAAAGCCGCAAACATATTGCTGGATGAGGACTTTGAAGCCGTTGTTGGCGATTTTGGGTTGGCAAAAATTATGGACTACAAGGATACTCATGTTGTAGAAATCTTATTGTTTTGTCTTGTTCGACCAAATTTATCTGTATTCTAAATTGTTCTATAAAAATTTAACCATGCGAGACAGGCGAGGCCTTGGATGAACTGAAGAAAAATCTGAATGATCCGAACGGCGTTCTTCGGAGTTGGGATCCTGTCAATATGACCCCGTGCGATTTTTTTCGTGTTACATGCAACAGTAACCAAAGTGTTATTAGAGTGTAAGCCTGCACGTTTTTGAATCAAATATCTTAGGTACATAATTTGCTTTTAAATTTCCTGATTATGGATATATTTTTTGAGTTCTTTTACACACAGTGATCTTGGCAATGCAAATTTATCTGGTAAACTGGTTCCACGGCTTGCTCAACTACAATATTTAGAGTACTTGTAAGTCACACTTAGATCAAAATTCGATGCATTAAAATTTTTGTTCTTTCTTTTTTTCAGTTAATTTTTTACACATTATCCATGATAAGAATGAAAAAGTTCATTAGCCTAATAATTTTTCACATGAACTGATATGTTTTGTCTAATAGTATGGAGGGTAAGGGTGAAAACTTACACAAAGTTCCCACTTTTTTCCACTTTCGATCACTAGTTCTAACTTGATATTAACATGACATTTTTTGCAGAAATCTATCGTGCAAGCAATGATATCCATCACAAGAATCACAATTGAAGCACATCTTCATGATAAATTGAGAGAGATTAGTATTGATATTATTTGAAAAAGTTCATTAGCCTAATAATTTTTCACATGAACTGATATGTTTTGTCTAATAGTATGGAGGGTAAGGGTGAAAACTTACACAAAGTTCCCACTTTCGATCACTAGTTCTAACTTGATATATCTCTTATAAAAATGTTAAACAACAGTTTTGTTTGATTAGTTATTCTTCAGTTTTAGATCCACACCAAAGATTTTAATCGTGAGCTGCTTTTTCCATTTCTTTGCTGATTTTGATTACAAGATTATCATCTGAACTCCTATCTCCTTCCTTTTCTTCCCCCTTCTGTTGGCAGGGAGCTGTATAATAACAATATTAGTGGAAGAATTCCATATGAACTTGGAAACTTAACAAACTTGGTGGGCTTGGATTTGTATATGAACAACCTAGATGGCCCAATCCCTGACACATTGGGCAAGCTTCAGAAACTTCGTCTCCTGTACGGGTTACTACTGTCTTTGAACTTTATGTTGTATACAGTTTTTTTTTTTTTTCCCTTGGGCTTTCTTTCCTTCTTGTTGGATTGAAACTTTGTCCTTCAAAAGTAGGTGACAAATAGGTTTCAGGAGTTGATTAGAGCACCAAACACTGGGTAGCAATATTATCGTCTTGTCTTCTTTGAAGTTAATTTTCTTGCATGTCTGTACAACAATTTCTAAGATTATGATGTGGCTTACAACGAATGAAGTTAAAATCATAAGGCCGGCTTGGTCTTTGACCGTTTTCTTTTTTATTAAGATGTCTTGGTGAATTTGGCTCTTAATTCAACCGAGCATGTTTCATTAGAGAATTAGCAAATTTCACCCTTTCTATCAAGAGTCAACTATGTCCAAGTTTTTGTTGCTGGTGTTGCATTGTCATCTTGCTAAAGAAACACTGTTGAGTGGCTAATATGTTGCTATATAAAAATATCATACTTACAGACAGTAGTTAGTTTGTCTTGACGGTGGCAGAGAGCAGATAGTTTTGATTTTTTACTGTTAAAAATCAAGTCCAAAGATCATGGTTATCCTTTAGTGCAAATACTTTTGAGTTGGATGTGACCAACCACTGAGTAAAAAGGCACAACTTCCTTGTAGAGCAACATACATACTGCAGTTGAAACAGATAATTGGACTTTGTCATGATATCAGAATGCTCAGGCGATGTTAAAAAGCAACAAAATTAGTTGGTGCTTATTGTTCAACCATTCTATTACTGTTTGACCAGGAGAACTTGCAAAGTAAGCAGATGCTGTTTTAAATCCTTTATATCCTGGTAAATGAGTCAAACTTAAATTGCATTTAAAGCTTAAACATGACAACTACTCAAAGTCATTTCTTAAATAATGCAACATGACATTTTTTGCAGAAATCTATTGTGCAAGCAATGATATCCATCACAAGAATCACAATTGAAGCACATCTTCATGATAAATTGAGAGAGATTAGTATGGATATTATTATTAAAATTTTAATCCTAGAAAATAACATCTATGAATTTCCATTCTATGCTAGCAGTGATACTAAGTCTTTACTTGAGATGCAAAAGGAAGATTGTTTCTGTTTGTGTAATTTATGCCTATTAGGAGAATCTGCAACATCAATATCTTGCCAATTCTTTCAGGATGTTTTTGGAATTATGTACATGAATTATGCTAATTACAGGGTAATTAAACTACCCTGTATTCTTCTCTTAGCTATATGTAAGATATTTGCTCACCCCATGGAAAGAAAATTGGTGCATAATCATGTAACCACGATCTGCGGTAGATGTATGTGTTTGCTTGTGCATTTGTGCAGATTTAATGGTAATTGGATCTCATAGCACAGCTGAAAATGATCGTACAAGTAAATATTTGATAACACAGGATCACACTTGATGGTTCAGTTGTGTTTTGCTTTATATTCTCTCTTTCTATTCTAATGAGCATATTGATGTATTGTTGTAGAGCGACCTGAATCGCAACCTCCACTTGATTGGTCAATAAGAAAACATATAGCATTGGGAGCTGCGAAGGGACTTGCTTATTTGCACGATCAATGTGACCCAAAGATTATTCATCGTGATGTCAAAGCCGCAAACATATTGCTGGATGAGGACTTTGAAGCCGTTGTTGGCGATTTTGGGTTGGCAAAAATTATGGACTACAAGGATACTCATGTTGTCACTGCTGTGCGCGGCACAATTGGTCATATAGCTCCTGAATACCTATCCACTGGTAGATCTTCAGAGAAAGCTGATGTTTTTGGGTATGGGGTCATGCTTCTTGAGCTCATCACTGGGCAGAGAGCTTTTGATCTTGCTCGGCTTGCCAGTGACGATGATGTGATGTTACTTGACTGGGTGAGCATTACGTTCCATATATGCACTTTTGTATTGGTTTATTGCTCTTGGCTATGCTTAAAAGTTACATTTCAAGAAAATAAAGTTTTGTTAGTAAATTAACTCTGAAAATCATGTTTGGAAACATCACTTACTTCTAAGCGCAGCCAAAAACCAATATTTGAATATTTTATTTGATTTTCAGGTTAAGGGACATCTAAAGGAGAAAAAATTTGAAACATTTGTAGACGCGGATCTTCAGGGTAATTATATCGAGGACGAGGTGGGGCAGCTAATCCAGGTAGCTTTGCTCTGCACACGAAAAACTCCTACGAAACGCCCCAAGATGTCTGATGTCGTCGGCATGCTCAAAGGTGATGGCTTGGCCGAGTGGTGGGAAGAGTGGCAAAACGAAGAAATGATCCGTCAAGAATTGGGTCACACCCAGCAGCCTAATACTGAGCTGATTATAGTCAACACCACTTACAATATCCAAGACGATGTATTGTCTGGGCCAAGATAACCATGGGTTCTAATGCACGAGATTCTTTTCTCCAACCAGCTAGAAAGAGTAGAGGCTGTCGAGGAGGGCTTCTCGCGTGTTTGTATATGACTTTCTTTCGTTCTTTTTCAATTTAAAATTTTGTTAGGTCCAGTTTATATGGTTGTATATGATTATTTCAAGGGAGAAGAGGCTGTAGAAGCACTGATGTATTTTACTTTCACCATTGTAATTCTTTTTTAATGTACTGAATAGTTGATGTTGTCCAAAAAACAAATAGAGTTTTTAATCATAAAGAAATGAATTTTTATTCTCAGAATTCTGTTCATTAATATTTTCATTTTTCAATATAGTCATTGAAGTATTTTTCTTACACAAATGATCATTCAAGTATGTAATGTTTACACTATTGGTCACTCAATTAGAAACATTAACAAAAAATTCTATGTGAAGCCATTACATTTCAATGTGAACACAAATAGTGCAAGTTAGTACGTCACGTCAAATGAAAAATAAAATCGTGAATATTAGAAAAATTAATCGAAAAAACTTTTAAAAAATCTTCAATAAAGGTTGTTCGTCCTCCTTTTCATTTTATTAGCATATAATAGATCATTAATTCCTTCCGCTATGTTTTTTTCTCTCATCTTTTCTTTTCTTCTTATATCGTAAATCCAGACTTTATGCTAGAGATATGATTAATTCATATATTTTATTTTTTACTTTTACTGATGGATGACTTGATTATCGGAGTACGGTTGTCTATTTTCTTTTTCTTGAAATGATGATCTTAATGTCTAACGATTTGTGCTCGAATTTAAAGGTAATATACAGAGATCTATTGGCAAAGGACGCAAAGATGTGGACTGAGAAGTCCAAATTGGGTTGGGTTTGCCCATGTTTATAAGCAGGAGATAATGCGCTTAATAAATTAAGCATTTTTGTAAAGTGTCTTTTTCCCTTAATTCATCTCCCCCCTTTCTCCTGTTCATTTCCCAGAATCAGTGCCACTCTGTTAAAAACTTCAAATACTGTACATACAATTCTACAAATGTCTCCTTCCAAAGATTCTTCATCCATACAGGCACCTACAAAGAAAAAGCGCAAGGTTTTTAAACGACGAGGTACCCAAATTCATCACTGATTTCTTGACACCTTAATTTAATTTTATTCCTTTTTTGTTTTCTGTTCTGTAACAGTTAAAATCAAGACAAGAAAGAGAGCCCAAATCGCAGAAAAGAAGAAAGAAAAAGAAAATGTTACTCCACTTGTAAGAAAGTACTGGCTTCAAAGGTACGATCTTTTTTCAAGATATGACGAGGGTATCAAAATGGATGAAGAAGGTTGGTTTTCCGTCACTCCGGAGGAAATTGCTGCCCGGCAGGCACGCTGGTGTGCCGGTGCCGGAGTGGTCATCGACGCCTTTGCTGGCGTCGGTGGCAATGCCATTCAGTTTGCACAAATGTAAGTTTAACACTCTAATTAAGAATTTGGCGTGCTGATAATAGAAATTTAATTATATTATAATATTTTATTTGAAACTGACTCTAAATTAAATGTTTCAGAAGCTCTTTGATAAAATTAAAGGTGAAAATGTAAATAATTTTTTGCTCTAACTTTTGCTCATATCCTAACTTTTCAGTTTTACTGTGTTTAGGTGAGTTCAAAATTGGGAAGATCTATTCATTTTATTTAGTGGAAATTTTACAATGAAAGTTATGTGCTAAACCTCGTATCCAATAACAATGGGGAATGGAGGGTGTGAATAGGCTGTGGGAATGATAATGAACCAATTTTTGTATGCCAATTTAGTCATTTTGTAAGGTCAGGTTTTACATTGGATGGTAGTTCGATTCAGCTTTTAGTTCAGTCTGGATGAGTTCAATGACTCTAGTATCGTGTGGTTGATTAATCCTATATGCCTTGCTTGAGACTACTCGAAAAATGAACTTCCATTTTCATAGGGTTTACACAATTATTACATTTTTCGTACACTCCCGTAGCTGAGCAATGTAAAACATGCTATTGATATGTGGTACAAGTCGTTTAAAAAGTTTATACATCTTGTATTTTCGTTGTAGCCATATGAATATGTTTAATATTATATGAACATGAATTTTGAAATTTTTTCTTCTTTGTTTCCCATGCATTAATAGAATCTTCAATGACTAGAAATGGCAGTTGCATGACACTTATATTGCTACATTTAGGTGTCATCATGTTGTTGCAATCGACATTGACCCAAAAAAGGTTGCACTGGCATCTGATAATGCAAAGATATATGGTGTAGAAGATTACATTGATTTCATTGTAGGAGACTTTTTCCAACTCGCTCCCTTTTTGAAGGTACTTGCCCCTATTATATCTCTTAAGATATCGAAATTTTAAATTTGGAAGAAACTACATTCATGCAATGGATGGACCATATTGTGCTACTTATTTAGGCAGTGTTATATGGCCCAAGTTTGTTGGAGTATGACATTGATTATTTATTTAATTATTTCTATATTGTACTTAATTTGTTCCTCAATCTTATTGAGAGTCGGATGGAATACCTGGCCTTGAGTTTATGCCTTGTATCAACTCAATTAGAATGAAATTGTTATTATAGGGAGATCCAGAAAGATGATCTTGTTTTCAATGGTTAACCCGTCTTAATTATGGGAGCTTTGTTATATCTTTTTATCCTTTCTATGTAGAGATACTCTTTTTTGGGCATGCTTTTACGCCTCTCTATAGTGGATAAAATTGTAGAATGCCTCACAAGAAATCTTGCTTTCTCAAAACTCAGAAGTGAAGAATGATAAGCCAGTCCTCAAATGGATTCTCTAACCCCACTGCTTGGAAGGTATAATGGTACATTGACAGCCAAATAAATAGTTGTTGTATTGTTATCATCTTGTGAGCATGTTGCAGCTGCATATTTGGGCATACAATACGATACTTTCAGGTTTAAGCATGAATTTTGGAATTTGATAATCACGTAGGGGAATGGCAGTGGTTAATAAATATAATATTAGGCACAAATGTAATTATAAATTTAAGGAAATGACCCGTTAGCCTACAAAATTTAAAATTGTTGACTGTCTTGGTTGCAACAACATTATATTTTCCTAAATTCAAAGTTCTTCTCATTTTTTTAGGGTGATGTGGTGTTCCTATCACCACCTTGGGGAGGTCCATCATATAAAGCAAAAGAAAGTTTCACTCTTGACTTGCTGAAGCCGAAAGATGGGTATGTCATGAAGTTTTTGTTTAAGGTTTCTTGTCAATAAAAGAAATTAAAAGGACCTTCCTTTATCTTTTGTGATCCAAGTTTATGCATATGCAATATGTGATGTAGCAGTAGATTAAGGTGCTAATTTTCATTTGTTTCTGTGGCAAATTGCCTCTGTACTTTAGTTTTATGTATTCCAATTAAACTGTAAGTCGAGGGGCTTGATTAGGAACCGATTACAACTATACAACGATTTGGAATTATGTCATCGGGATCTCCATGAAACTAAAGATACTGGATTATTCTTCTTGAGTATTTGATGATATGGTCCATGTTACTTTTCCTAGCAATTTTTCAGTGTTGTTTACTTATAAATTGGCGGTGAAAAGAAACATGAGTTTACTATGTTTGCAGGCATTCCCTATTTCAAGTTGCTCAAGCAATAACACCTAACATTATTATGTATTTGCCTCGAAATGTGGATTTACTCCAAGCAACTGCACTTTCATGGTTGTCGTCTCCACCTTTAGATGTCGAGGTATATCTTATTTCTGTGTGTATCCTGTTTTGATATCAAAGAAAATTTTCATGAATCTATATACAAATAAATAAAACTGAGATTCTATTTGCAGATTGAAGAAAATTTTGTGAGGGGCAATTCAAAGGGCATGACCATCTATTTTGGTGACAATATATTCCCATAGCTCAGCGAATCTCATACTCTCGAGATGAAGCCTTTTTTTAATAATGTGCTGCCATTCTCACTGCACTATGTAAATATCAGTTCGAATTATGTTGAAAATGTAATATAAATCAACGAACTGACTGTTTCTTTGTTATCAGTTTGCAATTCGAATCAGTGATAGTGAAACATTTGATTTTGTACATTAATTTCTCGTGGAATGAGAAAAAGAATGCCTGTATATTTTACATCAAAATTATATCTTATACTCCTTTTGTTCCACAGAGATAGTAAGTTGATTATATTTACACCACATTTTTTCATTAATACGCGACATTTTTATTACATTGAAGGTTATTAAACTTTGTTCATTATTACACCTGTAGTCTTAATCTTTTTCTTCCTACAATCTTATTTTTAACATTTCATTGATGATAAAAAAAATTTCTTTTTATCAACGTGCTTTAAAATAAGAGATAAAAATTAATTGCATTTTTGTATTATTTGTTTTGCTTATTTAAAAATAGAATGGGCAAAGAAGTCTTCTATGTTAAAGAAAATTTTGGAGAAAAATCATAATTAGGAAAAATTTATGTTAATTTGAGAATAAGAATATGATGGGAAAAATTGAGACATATATGATAATGAATAAATGTTACGAACCTTTAATGTAATTAAAGTGTAATGTAGTTATTAAAAGTTGTGGTACGGATATATTTGGTCAAGATAGAATTGCTTTCGTTTTCACACATATATATAACTGGAACAATAAATTTTTTACATTTTTATTATGTACCCCTATATTGAATAATGATATAAATAAGAGTAGTTCATATTTGTTGATAACAAAGCACATTGAATAGGAATGTTCACGAAAATTATATTTCGAATTAAAATAATTGCAAGTGTACAGTTCATTAATACGTAATAAAGTGAATTTTGAGTCCAAGTATCATCCCATAGAGATTATATTAATTTAAATTCGAATAATCTTCGCCTTAATCGAAATGATATAAATTTGTGATTTTTCCCTTTAACTAATTATGATCTAATAATCAACTTATAAATGTAATGACTAAATTAACTAAACCAAATGCGAGATTATAACTAAATGCAAGTTTTATAAAAATGTGATAAAGATCCGCGTACTAGGATCCCGAATCCCCTTATATCGATCTCATTTAACACGAATTTTATAAAATTGACAACACGATTTAAATATGAAAACCAAAATTCCTAATTTTGTTTAACAATATCATTCGAGTAGAATTAAACTATTTTTACATGTGACTCGACTATATTTCTATAATGGATGTGAACATATAGCATTAAAGATCTATAAATACTTAAATGTCACGTAACATATAGCGATATATTTCTATCCTCTATCACACTCTACGACAATTGACACACGGTCTAACTTATTTTCCATCTCTTGAGGGTAAAACAAGCCACGAAACTCATACAACTATTGCGTATATAACTGTAGAGAAAATAAAATCTATGCCAATCAATCATTCAACAATTAAAAATATGTTTTAATGTCGAAATAAATAAATTTCAAAAGTTAAAAGTTCACAATACAAGGTTCATCGCAAATCCTAGCATAAAATAATTTAGCCGAGCATAATGTTGTAAGTAAACAAAAAAATGATAAAAACATCACCAAAAATTGATGGAACATGGTTAATTTTTCCAATTTTTCTCCACCGTCTTTTTCCATTCTTCCGTGTCTTTGAATTTCTTTTCTTCTTCTTCAAAGTTACTGCTCCTTTTATGCGTGCAAATCTCTCCTTTTTGTGTACTCTCACAGCCGACTTTTTTCTCTTCCAAAAACCTGCCAATTGTTATTCAATTTTTTCCAATTTTTCGCCCTTTACGTGTGTCCATCTCTGCCCGTGTGTATGTGTGTGTGTGTATAGATATATATATAGCCCTCCGAGGCATAGTACAGTGGTGCAAAGGATAGGAGTGAGGTTATCTCACGCCTTGCTGACAGCCGCAGTGTAGGGGTTCGATTCCTGAAATATGGAATTGGACTCCTTATAGGCGCAGTGTACAGACAGCTCTTGTTAGATATTTCTCATCAAAGCATCATTTTTTCCAATTAATGAATTTTAGTCCTGTAGCCCATTAAATTGTACAGCCCACGTCTTCTTCAATCCAATTTAAGCTCTTCAATTTCCAAAGTGTTGAATTTGATCTCCAAACTTGCCCATTTTATTCATTTTCATCATTATTTCTTTTCCAAGTGCTTCGAACGAGTCCCTAACTAAAACCAAAAGAAAATTAACCCAAGTTAGGTAAAATTAATAATTTGACGACATAAAAGTCTAGTTATGTAGTTCGAATAAGTACACAAAATGCACTTAACAAATATTCCCAAACTAAATTCTTTGTTTGTCCCCGAACAAATTCAACAAAACTTATGTATGACACATATTACTAACCCAAACAAGTCACAAATAAAAGAAAACTCAACGTTGAACTACTTACCATATGCCTCCGTTTGAATTTAAGCAAAACTTTAGAAAGATCTAAACAATATCAAAAAATGTTAACGGAGAGTGGGCAGAAGAGAAGAAGGTCCTCATACGGAGTTGCACACTGACTTGAGTAGTGCGGGAGACTAGGGAATGGGTTGAGTAAACTCCCCTGGGGTTGGAAAAATAACAGACGAAGCTTTACTTAGATAGGGCTTTGATTGGTATTGATTTTTTCTTAGTGATTGGAAAGAAGGGCGCCTGGGTATATCATAGAAAGGGAAGGCCGAGGCATCGAATGGCAAAGAGAGGCGGCTCGACAAAGAAGGAATGGGAAATTGTCAAGGATGACTTCTTTGTTGGCGAAACGAAGGGCGCTAAAGGCGCCAGTGATTCTCTGAGCCAATTTGGATTTCCAACACCTCGGGAAACTGGTCGAGATAGATGACAACACCTTTTTCCCCTCTTCCTTATCGGGAGGGTGTGTGTGTGTATGATTAGCCAACGTTGAACTAATATCCATATTAGAACACAACTAATCAAGTATTGTTGATTTATTCATAATCTTAGGGACGTCAACAAGCCGAAATTCTAGGCTCGAGTAAAATATCCAAGCTTTTTTGTTTGCTTGGCAAAAAAATTAGGCTCGACTCGAGCTTTCTGCTCGGGACTTTCCAAGCCGAGCTGGGTTTTGTTTGGTTTTGAATTTTTTTTAAATTTATATAAAGGCAGCAAGGCAGCAGCATGCTGCCTTAAAAGGCAACATCCTGCCTATGATTTTTTTTTTAATATATGCTCCATTCTCCCGAGCCGACGAGCCACACGGGCTGGCTCGGGCTTTGCCCGGCACTTAAAAATAGGCCTAGGCTCGAGCTTTTTCCAAGTTGAGCTACAAGCGGCTCGAGCCATTGAGCCCGATTGCCATCCCTACATAATTCCAATCCTTTTGTGGTAAGTTTTTTTTCCCTCACCCCTCTTGAGCAAAAAATCACTCATTATGCTTTTTTCTTCAATCTCAAGGTATTTCTAGCACATATGGGTTTCTAAAAATTATTATAACTCATTTTTTTCACACGAGTGGTCAGACTCAGGACTCGTAAGCCTTAAAAGAAGATGTTAAGTCTTTCTCAAAATCAAAATGCCAATCTCTAGAGTTTAAATATCAAAGTCTCTACCAGACACATTTCACTTTTGATAATTTATATTTCCCTTTCTTTTTGACATCTTCTATATAAAGACTTCTCTCCATTAAAATCTCTAAATGACCCCTGTAGCAAGCTTTATGTCGATTACTCTCAAGTTAGATGACTATAGGGCACCAGATTTTTAGATATCCTTGCAGACTTAATAACTCGAGTCAAAAGGCTATGAAGAGAAGTAGAAGATATATTACTTTTTCTTTCGATATGAGAATCTAACTTATCATTCATTTCTTTTAAATATCTTATGTGTAAAACTTCTTTCCATTAAACTTTCTAGATGACCCTATAACGAGTTTTAGGTCGATTTCCAAATCAGATGACTATAGAGCCCCATGTTTTAAAAACCCTAACAGACTTAATCACTCGAGTCATAAAGGCACCCCCAAATTGATTTTTAATAGTTTGGTTCCTATATAAAAGATTTGGGAAATTTTATTCAAACCTAGGTCAACAATATCAATAAGTCCACAAAATTAAATTATGTCCCAACATAAATGATAAGTCAGTATGGTTATGTGCTCAAATAATCAGATATCACATGGATAAGTTTTTAAGTAAAAGTACAAGTCATGATGTTGTCCACCATCTAACTAAATATATACTCAATTCAAACAAATAGACACCATCATCGATGACAAGTCATCAATGCTAACTAGACACTATTTTTTTTTTTTTTGTAAAGTTATATAGGCCCAATTAGCAGTTGAACAATATATATCGGTTCTAAGTATTCTATTACCTACCCACCCTCAAACTAAAATATTATATTGTCTTCAATGTAAGAGTAAAAATAATCTAAGGAAAGGGGTAAGGATCAGAAATTCCCCGAGATAGATGCTGATAGATAGAAGGATCAAGTTTGTCCGATTGGTAGATGTCATGACAACCCCCATTTTTTCTTGTTGCTGGGCTTTAGTTTGCTGTTTCAAGAATATAAAATAAATTTAGTGATAGCATAAAATGTTTAAATATTTGCAATGAATTCACAAAAAAAAAAAAAAAAATAATAATAATAATAAAAAAAAAAATAAAAAAAAATCTAATCTTCTAACTATTAGAAAGACTATCTAGTAGAGCGTCATCTCTGCAAAAATCCTATAGTTGGGAAGAGATAAGTCTTTCAAAATAGTTTGGAGAATAAAATCTAAGTACAACTTTAAGAATGCATATCACGTCAATGTAAGCTCAATATAATGTTAGAATGTTAACGATAAGTCTAAGTAAAATGAACTCAACAAGTAAACGTTACTCATGCAAGTTTCAAAATACTACCTAAAATGTGTTAAAACGATTTAAATGCACAAGTTCCTAAATTAATGCAATCTCTAAAACTACGTATAATGCAATAGTAAATTAAAATAAGTGAAAATGGATAGAAAAATGGGTAGTCTCCCATTAAGCGCTTAATTTAAAGTCTAGAGCTCGACTTTTGCACAACCGTTTCATGGCACTTTGAAGGCTTCGGATGTCCTGCTAAACTTGCTCAATTCAACTTTATTCCATATTGCAACTTTCTTTCAAATTTTAACCTTGTCATTCTTCAAGTAGTAAGATTTTCTGCAATCACCCTTTTCGAACTCAAC